CCCCAGTCCACATGGGGTGTCCTTGCCTTCCTTCATCTGACCTTACTGAGGGCAGGCTCCTAGCTCAATTACAGTCTTATGTTTTGGGTCCCTGGGATGGAGCTAAGCTGGGCAGAGTTTTGGGAGAAACTGGAAGAGGAAACCCAAGCTTTGCTTCAGTCCTCTGGGAGTTCCCAGACCACCACCTGTGGGGTAGTAAGTGTTATGATTAGACAGACTGTGGTGGCATATTAAGCAAATGCTAAATTGGATGTTAGAAACTCTGAGGTGTAGCAAGTGAGCAGAGAGGAAAATTACTAAGTAGTTAGGGAAGATGCCAGAAATGAGCTTTGAAGGATAGGAATAATTTTGTTTTGTTTTGTTTTAAAGACCAGGGTATCATCATGTAGCTCAGGCTGCCTCGAACTCTTGATCCTCCTGTCTCAGCCTCCCAAGTGCTGGGATTACAGGCATGTATACCATACCTGTCTAGGAATAAAATTTTTTTAGAATGCTCTTCTGATTCCAAGTTTTTTTTATTCGATGTTTTGGTTTTTTTGAAGAAAATAGTCAGCTGGGTGTGGTCACTCATGCCTGTAATCACAGGTAGAGATCAGGAGAACCATAGATTGAGGCCAGCCCAGGTAAAAAGTTAGTGATACCTAATCTTTTTTTTTTTTTTTTTTTTTTTTTTGGCACTGAGGTTTGGCCTACACCTTGAGCCATTCCACCGGTCCTTTTTTGTGATGGGTTTTTTTGAGATAGGGCCTCACAAACTATTTGCCCTGACTGGCTTTGAACTGTGATCTGGAGTAGCTAGAATTATAAGCATTAGCCACCGGTGCCCAGCATGAGACCCAATCTTAACAAACAAGCTGGGTGTGGTGGTACACATGTATAATTCCAGCTAACCCGTACAAAAAGCAAGACTTTATCTGAGAAATAACCAAAGTGAAAAAGGGCTGGGGGTGTGATTCAACTGGTAGAGTGCTTGCCTAGCAAGTGCAAGTCCCTTAAATCAAACTTCAGTGTCAGCACCAAAAAAAAAAAAACAAAAACAGGCATTACAAATCGCCACCCAGGAAGGTAAGGGAGGGGGCCGGGGGAAGGGGGGGAGAAATGACCCAGACATTGTATGCACATGTGAATAAAAGCAAACAAAAACAAAAAAACAAATCGCCACCTAGAGGTAGCCATTGTTAAGAGTCTCATTTATTTTTCCTTTCATCTTTTTGCTGTTGCTTATACAGTAGACCCTTTGGTATCAGCAGGTATTAGTTCCAAGGAGATTGCCATTGAGGAAAAACCGTGAATGCTCAGTGTGAACAGAGTTCAGTGCTGTACTGCAGATGCTTGATGCTTGATTCATTTTTCCCCTAATACCATACAAGTTCTAATGACATACTACCTTTCAACAAATCTAAAGTTTGCACTTTATCACTTAAATTAAGCACATTAATGTTCACCTTTTTGTGGGCGGCATCATTTACTTTTTTGGAGGCGTATTTTCACAAAATTAAGGGCAAGGAAATAGCAGATCACACAATGATTTAAACAACTGACGATGCAGGACTATGAGCTTCTCTGCATCAACTGAGCTGTGTAATGTGTGTGGGAATTTAAAAGTTTTGTTTTTGAAATGTCTTTTGATTGATTTATGTTTTTCACTGTACTTTGTCAAAACCATGCATAATAAATCCAATAATAAGGCAAATTTGCTGTATATAAGTATCTTTAACAAATTTGGGATCTTTTATATACTCTCAGTTGCTACTTCATAGTCGTTTTTCTGTGTTTCTAAATTTATTCAGGGTATGAATTTTTTTCATCAAATGTTCTCCTGATAAGACATTTAGATTGGTTTTTCAGTGATAAAGACTTTAGAAGAGGTGGACAGATGTTTCATAAGGGGGAACAGAGGATTAGCAGGAGCTGGTATTCAGGGGAGAATGTGCCTTAGGGTGATTAGGGGCAATTAAGAAGAGGAGCTGAAGTAGCAGTTGAGGGCCAAGTGCCTGGTAAGTCTGTCAGGTCCATTTCATGAGTTTGCTACCTTCACTCACATTCTCTATGCTTGTTTTCACATTTCCTTCTGGATTTCTGGAAAGGAGACATTGATGGTCTCACCTTCTCTTTGGGACTCAGTCTTGCTTGTAGAGACTGAGAGTGCACAAGCACATGCACACACAGATGGGGAGTGTGCATAATGGCCTTGGCAGTGTTGGAGATTCTAGTGGGGAAAGTTTGAATACTGACAGTGTTATGGATAGGAAGACTGTTCACTCTCCTTGGCTTTCTTCTCTTAAGTTGATGGTGAACCAGATTGACATTTATTTTTCAGATGTAAGCAGGGTTGTACGACTGACTCTGGAGTATATACTGTTGTCATCTAAAACTATGAACATAGCTACCAGTGAGGTAGAACCAAGTTCTGAATGGTACAGGATTTGACACTAGAAACTGGTGCCTTCATTTTGTACCCAACAAGGAAGTAGAATATTCGGTGCCATTTTACAAGGCTGGCAGAAGAGCTTATTGAAGTCCGAGGCCATGGTTTAGATAGTAAAGATTTTTTTGTTTTTGTTTTTGTTTTTTTGGGAGGTTAGTACTGGAGTTTGAACTCAGAGCCTTGCACTTGCTGGGGAGGTGCTCTACCACTTGAGCCGCACTCCAGTCCTTTTTTGCTTTACTTATTTTTCTGAATAGGGTGTCAAGTTTTTGCTTAGGGCTATCCCTGGACCACCATAATACCTATTGCCACTCGTGTACCTGGGATTGCAGTTGTGTGCCACCGTGCCTGGCTTATTGGTGGAGATGGGGGACTCGGTAACTTTTTGGCCAGACTGGCCTTCAACCACCATCCTTCTGATCTTCACCTCCTGAGTAGCTGGGATTATAGATGTGAATCACCACTGCCAGCCCTGGATAATAAAGTCTTTAAAGGAGGAAAAGAGCATGGGCTGCAGTAACAAGGGAGCACTTTCTAGAGACTATGGGAATGAAGTTGGGGTTTTGATTTTTTTTTGGGTTGTGCTGGGGATCAAACCTAGTGCTTTGTGCATGCCAGGCAAATGCTCTACCACTGAACTGTATCCCCAGTGCTTGTTTTTTGTTTGTTTTTTTCTTCCCCTCTGGTACTGGAGTTTTAACTCAGGGCTTCGAGCTTGTGAAGCAGCTGCTTGAGGCATGCTTCCAGCCCAGAGTTGAGATAAGGTCCCACTGTGTAGTCCAGGCTGGCCTTGAATGCATGATCCTCCATCTCCAAAGTGCTGGGATTATAGGTGTAAACCCCTGAAGTTGGGCCTTGTGTTCTTTTCTTTATATTTTTTTGGTGGGATTGTGGGATCAGAGTTTGAACTCAGGGCTTTGTGCATGCAAAGCAGGCTCTCTACCACTGTGCCATTTTTCTTTCGCTCTTTTGGAGATAGGGGTGAACTATTATTTGCCCAGACTGGCCTTGAACCACAGTCCTCCCAGTTTCAGCTTTCCAAGTAGCTAGGATTACAGGCATGAGCCACTGGTGTCTGGCTATGTTCTGTTTTTGAGACAAGGTCTAGCTAGGTTTCCCAAGCTGGTCTCAAATTTGAATCCTCAAGTGATATTCCTGCTTCAACCCCCCAAGTAGCTGGGAGTATAGGCCTATATTTCCACACATGACTTAATTTGTTTTTTTTTTTTTTCCCTAAAGTGTTGGGGAATCAAACCCAGGGCTTTATGCATGCAGGGCAAGTACTCTTCCACTGAACTACACCCGCCCTGGCCCTGAAGTTGGGTTTTGAATAATCAATGAAAGAAAGTGGAAGAGGGCCTACTTAGCATGCATAAGAACCTGGATTTGATCCCTAGCACGCACGCACACGCGCGCGCGCGCGCACACACACACACACACACGGAAAGTACATTTCAATAGGGAGGAGCTCTGTGAGTATATTAATCACTTTTGCTATAACAGAATATCTGAGAGAAACAGTTTAAAGGAGGAAAGCTCCTGTAAACTCAGAGTTTCAGTCCATAATGGCAGGACGTTTGTAACAGACCAACTCACATCATGGTTCCCAGGAAGCAGAGAGAGACAGGGGCTAGGGACAAGATATAGACCCCAAGGGCAAGCCCCAATGACCTACTTCCTCCAGCTAGGTCCCACCTCCTGTAGTTTTCAGAACCTCTCAAAGTAGCACCACCAGCTGGGAATCAAGCCTTTAGTACTTGAGCTTTTGCAGCAACACTTCATAGCCAAACCATAAGAGTGAACTTAAAAGCATATGGAAGTACATGTGGGGAATGAAGAGATGAATTAAGCTGAAGTGGTAAGGAAAAAGGTAGAGCTATAAATATAAAATAAGGCCTGTCTTACTGACATTAGGTTCAGACTTAAGGCTATTCTCCTCTAATCCTATTCCACATTCCAGTTCCACTTTTGAGGATTCTCTCTTTGCCTTTGTTATTTTTCCTAATGAATAAATTATTTTTTGCAGTATAGGGCCTTGTGCTTGCTAGGCATTCTCTCTACTACTTGAGTTATACCCCTAGCCCACTTTGCCTCTTTTTGTGACATGTTCTCCTTTGGGTTTCAGGAGTGTAAGCGGCCCCCTGAAGCCTTTGGCTTTGAGCAGGCTACCCGGGAATATACTCTGCAGAGCTTTGGCGAGATGGCTGACTCCTTTAAAGCTGACTACTTCAACATGCCTGTGCACGTAGGTGATGGAGGGCTAGGGTATTGCTGGGGCTAGGCTCATAGACCTTGGTACCTAATGGTCTTACTTCCCCTGGGTCAGTGGGGCCAGGATAAGATGGGTCATGGTCAGCTACTACCCCTCTTCCTCTAGATGGTGCCCACAGAACTCGTAGAGAAGGAATTCTGGCGGCTGGTGAATAGCATTGAGGAAGATGTGACTGTCGAGTATGGGGCTGACATCCATTCCAAAGAATTTGGCAGCGGTTTCCCTGTCAGTGATAGTAAGCGGCACCTAACCCCTGAGGAGGAGGTGAGTGGGTGATTATGTATCAGCTGTGTAAGCTTAGGCAAGTCATTTACTATCTGAAAAACTCAGTATCTTTTTAAGATGGGGATAAATAGGCCTGCCTTAAGCAGATACTGTGAGATTTAGATGAAATGCTACATGTAAAGGACACAACCTAGCCAGGTGCCAGTGGCTTATGCCTATAATCCTAGCTATTTGGGGGGCTGAGATAAGAAGGATCGTGGTTCAAGACCAGTCTGGACAAATAGTTCGAGATTCCATCTCCAAAATAACTAGAGCAAAATGGGCTGGAGGTGTGGCTCAAGTGGTAGAGTGACTGCTTCTCAAGACTGAGTTCAAAACCCAATCCTACTTAAAAAAAAAAAAAAAAACATAGCTTAGAGCTGGGTGTGGTGGCACACACCTGTAATCCCAGCACTCAGGAGGTGGAGGCAGGAGGATTGTGAGTTCAAAGTCAGACTGGGTAAGACCCTATCTCAAAACAACAACCACCACCCCCTTCCCCCCCCCAAAAAAAAAAAAAACACATATGCACATACAAACAAAAAAAACATAGCCCACTGCCTGCCATGTGCTCACATGAAATGGGTTCTTTTATCTCTCTGAGACCATTTCCTTATCTATAAAATGGGGGGTATTGCCTACCTGGCAAATTTGTTGTAAGTCTTAAATGAGAAACTTTGAAATAACCTGGCAGAACATTTGACCCTTTCACAAGAAGTGTTTAGGGAGTGGGATCTGTGTGCACAGGAAAAATTGAGGGCCCAGGCTTTTCTCAAGGGTAAAGTGCATTTGGGTTTAGAGCCAGGTTTTTTTGTTCATTTGGTTTTTTGGCACTAGGGTTTGAACTCGGTGATTCACTTGATAGGCAGGCCCTCTACCACTTCAGCCATGCCTCCAGCCCGTTTTGCTTTGGTCATTTTGAAAATAGGGTCTCACTTTTTGCCCAGGCTGCCCTCCTATTTTGCACTTGTTGCCATTACTGGGATGACAGGTACATGCCACCACACAGCCACCATACCCACTCCTAATATGCATTCTTAGAACCTTTGTTGAAAATTAGTTGGCAGAACAGGTGTTTTCAACTTGTAGGTATTTTAGTAAGTAGATGAATATACATCTGTAAACTTCCCTGCTATTAAAGTGAACCGAATTGAAATTTTGTGTGTATGTGTTTTGGTGGGAGAGGCAGAGAAATTTGTATCATTTAGGTGTGATCCCAAAATTAAGGTTTGCTAGGCTAAAAGAAATAACGTAAGATCTCAATTCCTTACCACAATAACCCTCATTCCTTCTGTACAAATACCTGACCTGACCAGGAGTATGCTACAAGTGGTTGGAACCTGAATGTGATGCCGGTGTTGGAGCAGTCTGTATTATGCCATATCAATGCAGATATCTCTGGCATGAAGGTGCCCTGGCTCTATGTGGGCATGGTCTTCTCAGCCTTTTGCTGGCATATTGAAGATCACTGGAGTTACTCCATTAACTACCTCCATTGGTGAGTGGGGCCCTGGGGAGCTGGAGAGGCAAGGTGGGCTCCCTGAATAACCATGGGTATGACACTGTATGTGTCCCCTTTCCATTTGATCAGGGGTGAACCGAAGACCTGGTATGGGGTACCCTCGCTTGCAGCAGAACATTTGGAAGAAGTGATGAAGAAGCTGACACCTGAGCTCTTTGATAGCCAGCCTGACCTCCTGCACCAACTCGTCACCCTCATGAATCCTAATACCCTCATGTCTCATGGCGTGCCGGTGAGTGACCAGGAATCATGAACAAGGAGTAAGAATGATTTTGTGATGTCCTTTGTGGTGGTGGTGGTAGTCTTCACCTGAAATTTACCCCTGTCCTTTTCTCATTCTTTTTTTTTTTTTTTTTTTTTTTTTTTGGTGGCACTCAGGTTTGAACTCTTGCTTGCAAAGCAGGCACACTACTGCTTGAGGCACGCCTTCAGTCCATTTTTGCTCTGGTTATTTTGAGAACTATTTATCTGATCTGGCCTCGAACAATGATCCTCCCGATCTCACCCTCCCAAGTAGCTAGGATTATAGGTGTGACCCACCAGTGCCCAGCTCCTTTTCTCATTCTTGATCTATCTCAGTTGAATTCTAGCTGTGACTGCTGTAATAGAGATCTGCAATCATAGTGGTTATAGACACACAATGTGATAGTGGCCTTTTGGACCATGTATTTGAGGGCAGTACCATAGGGGTGGCTTATTATCACATCTACATTCCATCTAATGGAGGAAAGGGTAGGAGTAGAGAGTCTCCTTGCTTTTAAGAGCATATATCACTTCTGTTCATCTGATAGTGAGAATTTGTTCACATGGTCACATCTAGCTGCAAGGAAAACTGGGAAATGTACTACTACAAACTGAAGGTCATATTATTATGAAAGAAGATAATGACTATCAGGACAGTTAGTGGCCTCTGCCATATTTTGTATATTTTGCATACTTCACAGATCAGTAGGTATGTCTTTTTACTTAATAGGTCAAAAGTTGAACCTAGTTGGATGTGATGGTGTATCCCTATAATCCCAGCACTTGGAAAGTTAAAACAGGAAGATTGATTGCAGGTTCTAGGCTAGCTTGGGCTACATAGGGAGACTTTGTCTCAAAAACCAAAAAAAAAAGAAAAGAAAAAAATTGAACCTTGAGTCCTGGCCCATTCATCTTTGGATAATTCTGTTATCCTATAAAATGTTTTACTGAGAGGGATTTTAAATTCATGGGAATTTCTAGCACTTACTAGTATTAGCCAGTTTTCTGTTGTGTATCTTAAAACAGCCTGATCAACAGTACTATGGGAACAAGAGTTAGTATATCCTCCATCTCTGTTTTAAGTCTAATTCTGTGCTACTATGACTCTCTATTCACCTTCATCTTTTCGTCTTTATCCCCTCTGGCCTTGGCCACTGTCACTTATTTTTTCTTTTTCTTTTTCTTGAGACAATCCTACCTCAGCCTCCTTGTGGTATTACAGGTATGTGCCATCATGCTGGCCACACTGCCACTTATTCTAATGCATAGGACATGGTAGGTAGTTGTTAAATATCAAATAAATATCTTTGAGGTAGCCCTTGAAATCCTGTACAGTAGGTCAGTGGTTTTCACTGGAATTTTTTTCTTGCTTTCACCTTGTTTTGATATACTATATACTCTGTGGATAATAGTTTTGTTATACATTTTAATGATATTTAACCAAGAATTGGAATATTTAGGGAATTGGACCTGGGAAAAGTTATCCTACAATAGCTCAGAAATCATCTTCCACTCAGAGGGGGCTATCCTTTTCCTTCTCTACCTCACTCCATTTAAGAATTACTGGATTACAGATGATCACATAGGGCTAGGAATATGGCTCGGTGGTAAATTCTGTGCTTAGCATGCATGAGGCCCTGAGTCCGATTCCTAGCACCACCAAAAACAAAAAAGATGAAGGGCCTTTCTAGTTCTGCTGATTCACAAGCAGACAATTGATCTGTTCTTTCCTTAGACTCCTTTTCCTAATCCTTAGCATAGCATCAGTCCTTGTTATAAAGCCAGGGGAAAACTGTAGGAGTAGAATAGGATTCTCTTAAAGATTTGAGTAGTTAAAGATGCAGAGAGAAAAAAAGAGAAGGTCTAAGGTTGTGGAGCTGTTCAATCTTCACCTCTTTTTAAAAAACTTTAACAGAAATTTAAACGTGTACTCTTTGCTTCTATCCTGCACAGCATTTCTCCTGCTCATTGCTCACCAGTTTCCCTGGCCAACTGCTGCTTCACCACCCTGCCCTCCTTTAAGTAGCTCCCAACATTTCCAGGCCTTTTAGATTGGGGAGTATTCTCCCCAATCCAAGGTGTCTGTGATTTTCATGTTCTCATACTGACAGCCTGCAGTTAAGCCAGCTGGACCAGAGCTCTTTAGTTTCTGCTGTCTCACATTCTCCTTCAATGGGAGAAGGCCATTTCTTTTTATAGATATGTAGTATAAGTATCATTTTCATTAGAAAAGACACATGTCTCCTTTCTAAAAAAGTAGAAAATGGATCAGCCCTATTCACTCCATCTTAACCATTTCATTGTTTCCATGTTGTTTTTCTGTATAAATTTTGATGTAGTGATAATTAGTGTATGGATTTTATAATCTCTTGTGAAGTTCAATGGTCTAGAATTGTTCTGTCCAATTTGGTAGCCACTAGCCGTATGTGGCTACTGAGCATTTGAAATGTGATTAGTCCCAGCTGAAATGTGCTGGAAGTATAAAATACATGTTGGATTTTCAAGACTTAGTATGAAACAAAGAATGTAAAGTATCTCACTAGTACTTTCGTATATACCAGTCACACATTGAAGTGATAATATTGTGGCTCTGTTATAATATATTGAAATTTTTCCTGTTTTTACTTTTTTAATGTGGCTACTAGAGAATTTAAAAGTACATATGTGCCTACCATATTTCTTTTGGACAGTGCTGGTCTAGAATGATTTTATAACTGTCATGTTTTTAACAGCTTTATTGCAGTGTGTGTTACATACTGTAAAGTTCATCCATCTTAAGTGTACAATCCAGTGAATTTTCAGAGTCGGGTTGCCATTACCATAATTTAATATTAAAATATCTGTCACCCCAGAAAAATCCCTCTTGCCCATTTGCAGTCACTCTCCATTCTAGGCAACCACTCACCTGTTTTTTTGTTTCTAGATTTGTTTTTTCTGGCCAGTTAATATGAATAGAATATGTGTTCTTTTGTAAAGGGCTTCTGTCATTTAGTGTATTTTCAATATTCATCCATGTTGCAGCTTGTGTCAAAAACTCATTCCTTTTATGGAACTTGTTGATGAACATTTGGGTTGCTTTTAGGTTTTTTGGCTATTCACATTTGTTGTTTGTCATTTTCAACTTTTGCAAAACATGAAGAATGGTGTTTTTGTTTGTCTTCTGAGACAAGGTCTTGCAGTGTAGCTCAGGCTAGCCTGGAACTTGAGATCCTCCTGCCTTGCCCTCCCAAATGCTGAGATTGCAGGTGTGTGCCAGCACACCTAGGAGTGCTTTTTTAAACCACCACATAGCAAACAATAAAGTAACAGTGCCAAAATGAGAGTGCAGCTTGAGAGGAAATCAGGAGCATTAGGTTCTGCTCCTGGCTCTGCTTCCTGAGGCTTCTCTGGGAATTAATTTTCAAATCTATAAAATTAGGTCTGGAACTAGATTGTTTAGATATTAATAGAGTATTTTCTGTGTGCAAGGCTATTGGTTTATTGGCCCTGAAGATTGCTTTACCTATGTCCTGCTTTTGAATGGATGACTGTGAGTGGAGGACAGTTGAATGGAGGACAGTGAGCAGTAAACAAGTAGAATAAAGTTTGAGAGGTGCTGCAGACTGGGTTATTGGGAATAGGGTACCAGGAATAGGTTTGTATAAGTGGTAGCCCTTGACAGAAGTGTTAAGAGTTTGCCTGTCACAGTTGTGGCTTTATCGTGTGTGTGTGTGTGTGTGTGTGTGTGTGTGTGTAAATTTGGGAGAGGGCCTCAGCAGAGCATGCCATAGTCAGATTTGTGTTTTTGTTTTATTTTGTTTTGTTTTGAAAACTGTTCTGGTAGTTGGTAATGGAGGCCAAGTGCAGTAATACAGGCAAGAAATACTTAGAGGCAGATGTTGTCTCTAACTAGAGAGTTTAAGAAGAAAATATACTGGAGATGGGAAACTGATACATGACTTGAATAAATGAGATACATATTTATGAATGGGAAGACTTAATATTGTTAAGCTGTAAATTCAGCCCAAATTATTCTAGAATCCTGGCAGATTGGGTTGAAGGGTATAAACATTTTAGCTTCTAGTTTCTTTTTCTTTTTTTTCATGGGCCAGGAGTTTTGAATGCAGGGCCTTATGCTTGTTAGACAGTCCCTCTACCACTTGAGCCAAGCCCCCAGCCCACATTTTAGTTTCTTGATAGATAGTAGCAAATTTATAAGGTGAGAGTGTAACTTCAGAGGACATGGATTCAGTCCTCAGCACATACACAGTTTATTTTATGCTTTTCATAGAGTAGAATTTGACTGCTTTACCTATGTCCCTGAACCTTTGCCAACATTGAATGTTCAACTTTTAAAAACTTCGTGAGGGCTGGAGGAGTGCCTCAAGTGGTAGAATGCCTGCCTAGCAAAAATGAAGCTCTGACTTTAAACCCCAGTACCACCAAAAAAAAAAAAAAATTCATGAGACTAAAGAGCCAAATTAAATGTGTACATGACTACTTTCATTCCTTATTGAAACTCCAGTAAAATGATACAAAGGGATTTTTTTTTTTTGAAAAGGTAAATTACAAAGATGGAGAAAAACAGGAGATAATGATAAAATTATCTTTTTTTTTTTTTTTTGCACTACTGGGGTTTGAACTCAGGGCCCACACCTTGAGCCACTCCACCAGCCCTTTGTCGTGATGGGTTTTTTCGAGATAGGGTCCCCCAAATTATTTTCCCAGGCTGGCTTTGAACCATGGTTCTCCTGATCTCTCCCTCCTGAGTAACTAGGATTACAGTCATGATGGTAAAATTCTTGACACTAAAAGTTTATAGTCAGTGGCACCTGAAAGCTAGGGGTAAGGAAGAATGGGGTGAAAATAAAGACTGGCTAAAGGACTGAAGATTTATTTCTGAAGACATTAAAACAGAGGTCTCTAGATTGAGGTCTCATAGGTTCAGTGGATGGTGGAGTTAGAGTGTAAACAGTAGGATTTATCATTGTATACATACTGGATGCTGAAGTTCTCAGCTGCCTTCCTTTACTTGAAAAGGCCAAGCCTTTTTCTTTTAGGGAAAAAAAAAATGTGAGAGTTTCTCTGGGAAATCTGATTGGTGTGGGAGGTAGAATGTAGAGTATCCCAAACTAAATGGCTTAGGTCTACAAACTAAATGGTGAAGCTCACAGTTGATAAGCTTCACCTATGTACTTAGAGCTTTCATTCAGCTTTTTTGTCTATTCCTCTTAAATATAAGTAGGTAGCCACAGATTAACGGATAACCAAAGAAAATAAAATAGAACCACACAAACAGGAAGAAATCAACTTGCAGAAACAGGCTAGGCAGAGAAAAATAAACTTCAAAAGCAAAGTACCTCATTAATATCTTTAGAGGTAAGCATACACAGTAGTTCTCCCTTACATAGTTTTATTTTCTGTGGTTTCTGCAATTACCCATAGCCAATTGCAGTCCAAATATATTAAATGGAAAATTCCAAAACCAAATAATCCATAGGTTTTAAATTATGTGCTGTTCTGAATAACATGATGAACTCTTCTGTCAGCCTGTTCTAACCTTACTGGGACACGAATCATCCCATGCTGTATATGCTACCCATCTTGTTATTTACCTGGTAGCTGTCTCAGTTATCTGATTGACTATGGAGGTATGATAGTGCTTACATTAAGTAACCTTTGTTTTGGTTAGATCAAAAAGAATTAACCTAGAAGGTAACACCCACGCACAGGAAATCAATGTGAGTCAATGCCCTGTATAGCTATCCTTATCTCAACCAGCAAAAACCCTTGTTCCTTCCTATTACTGCTTATACTCTCTCTCACAACAAAATTAGAAATAAGGGCAGAATAGTTTCTGCTGGGTATTGAGGGGGGGAGAGGGAGGGGGCGGAGTGGGTGGTAAGTGGGGGTGGGGGCAGGGGGGAGAAATGAACCAAGCCTTGTATGCACATATGAATAATAAAAGAAAAATGGAAAAAAAAAAAAAGTAACCTTTGTTTTATTTAATAATGACCACAAAGCACAAGATTAGTGATAAAGGGAATTCAGATGTGCCAAAGAGAAAATGTGAAGTGTTTCCTTTAAATGAAAGGTGGAAATTTTGAACTTAAGAAAATTGTATGCTGAGGTTGCTAAGATCTATGGTAAGAATAAGTGTTATCTTAGAAATTATAAGGGAAGAGAAATTGTGCTGGTTTTACTGTCACATGTCAAACTGAAAAGTTATGGCTACAATACTTAGTTGAGATGAAAAAGTCCCATTAAATTTGTGTATGTATGTATAGGAAAAACCATATATGGGGTTTGGTTTGATCTGAAGTTTCCACTGGGGGACTTGGAATGTATGGATAAGGTGGGACTACTGTACTGCAGGATATTATTTAAAAAAGAACATTCCAAGAACTATTAAAAAGAGCATATGGAGAACATACTTATGAGTTCTTGGAGAATAAAATTATGATAGCAAAAGAAAAAAACTAAAAAACAACCCCCCCCCAAAAAAAATCAAAAGCTAAGACAATAGGTAGTTGAGAAAATCTCCTAGAAAATAGAATAAAAATGTAGAGAAAATTAGAGAATTTATCCTAGAAGTTCAATATTCAAACAATACGACGTATAAAAAGAGTAGATAAAACCAAGATAATGGAATCATTGATGATTTTTTTTTTTTCTTTTGGTGGTCTTGGGATTTGAACGTGAGGCTTTGTGCTTGTGAGGCAGGCACTCAAGAAAATTTCCTGGAAAGTTTCCAGAATCAAAAGGCCTACCCAGTACATAAATAAAAACATCACATCAAGATATATCTTGTGGATTTTTATATCAAGTACTGGGACCAGAAGAATCCTATGAAATTCTTGAGAAACAGGTTTAATTCAATGATTAGAAATTAGAATGGCTTCAGATTTTTCAGCAGCAATGCTGGATTCTAAAAGACTAGAACAAGACTTGAAAATCATTTTCATCTTAGAATTCTACATGTAGTCAAGTATGAGAGTAAGAATAGAGGACCCCCCCCCAAAAAAAAAAAAGCTTCTTTCCACCAGTTCTCAGGAAGATACTGGAGGAGATGTTCAAACACAGCAAAGGAATAAACCAAGAAAGAGAAAGATAGGATTTAGGGAACAGATCTGAGGATCCAGGGAGAATAGCTGGTTCAGATCAGAACCGATCAGAAGGCTTCATGAAGCTGGGTGTGGTAGTACATTCCTATAATTACAGCACCTGGGAAGCTGAGGTAGTAGTATCGTGAGTTCCAGTCCAGCCTGGGCTGCATAGCAAGATCCTGTCTCAATAAATTAAATTAAAAAAAAAAAAACAAAAAAAAACAAGTCTTTGTGAGAGTGCTATAGTAAGGTTCAAATGTATAGGAAAGGAGAATTAGACATTTGTCAGAAAGTTAGGGTTTAAGTTACTAGTATATGTATAGAAAACTAAGCAAACTGAGAACTAGACTGTTTATTTATTTATTTATGGTGCTGGGGTTTGAACTCAGCTTTGTGCCCCCTATGCAGGTGCTCTTACCATTTGAGCCTCACCTCCAGCCCAAGAGACTGTTTCTAACATAGACCAGAAACACATTATCTATGGTTGTTAGGATCGGTGCCAAAATAATCAGAAGAGGTAAAGGTGATTGGCTTTGGGGAAAGGACAATGATAGGGCCTACTGGTCTTATAACATCTCATAGAACCATTTGACAAACTTCATCTATGACTGTTAAAAGTAAATATCAATGTAAAAACTTGGCTAGCTTAATAAAAAATTATATTTACAAGTGTTTTAAAAAATTAGGGAAGTCAAAATATTTTGATAGGTGTATTTCATATGTCTGACTCAAATCATACTGTCATCTGTCAGTACAGATCAGAACCTTGAGAGCAGACTGATGGTTCTCCTTTCAGAGTTGGAGGGCCTGGGATTCTGTTGTCACACTATATTTCCTGAAGCTTTTGTTTCCTTAAGGACTCTGCTCTTAGGTAGGTTCTGTAGATTGGAAACCTCTATCTTAATAGCTTTAGCATTTCTTGTTCCTCAGGTTGTTCGCACAAACCAGTGTGCAGGAGAATTCGTCATCACCTTTCCCCGTGCTTACCACAGTGGCTTCAACCAAGGCTACAACTTTGCTGAGGCTGTCAATTTTTGTACTGCTGACTGGGTGAGTCTGGAGTGTGGTGGGCTGGCAGAGAGAAGCAGGAAGGTTATGGGAAAGCTAAAGCACCACTGCCTTCAGGTTGACCACACTCAACCTTAAACCTGTCCACAGCTGCCAGCTGGGCGCCAATGCATCGAGCACTACCGCCGGCTCCGAAGATACTGTGTCTTCTCTCATGAGGAACTCATCTGCAAGATGGCTGCCTGCCCTGAGAAGCTGGACCTGAATCTGGCAGCAGCTGTACATAAAGAAATGTTCATCATGGTGCAAGAGGAGCGGCGTCTACGAAAGGCTCTGTTGGAGAAAGTACGTGTTGGGAGATTGCTCTGGGTCAGGTACCCTAGTCTACTCTAGTTGGATGTTGGGGGAGACATGGATGACACCAAGGAAAAGATAAAGCCTTTACTGTTAGAGTATAGTGAAAAAATCTTCGTATATTTGAATTAAAAACCATATTCTTTTCTCAACGTTCCCCTTTACTGGCAACCTTGGACAAGTCAGTTTGCTTCATTGAGTGATTTTTTGAGTAACTGAGTCGATCAAGAATAATGTGTGTGTTTTTTTTTTTTTCCAGTAACTGACCCCATAGCAGGTGATGGTATAGCTGCTATTCATCACTATGCAAATAACCCTGATAGACAGGCTGGTATATGAAACCCCCCACTGCTGATCATCTGGGTCATCTTATCAGTTACGTAAACTGTTAAGTGATAGTCTCACTTTCCCACTATGTAAAATGATAAATACCTAATATGGAAGGTAGTTATAAAGCTTGAGTGAGGTGATCTACGTAAAAGAGTCTGTTGCTGCCCTTTCAGGGTAGCAACATCTATTAGTACATGAAGAAAATGATTGAAATATGGAACAATTCTTAGAAAAGGCTATATTATAGAAAAAGAAAAAAATATAAAATTTTACTAAGGGAAATGCTATGTCATTACATTCAGATAGTTGAATAACTCTAGGTCAATAATGTTACCGCACATGGTGCTGGTGGCTCACGCATATAATCCAAGCTACACAGGAGGCAGAGATCAGTAACTTTTTTTTTTTTTTTTCTTTTTGTGGGACTTGCGTTTGAACTCGGCTTCTGCCCAAGAGGCAGAGATCAGGATTGAGGTTTGAAGCCAGCTTGGGCAAGTAGTTCACAAGACCCTATTTTGAAAATAACTGACAGAAAAGGGCTGGCGGAGTGGCTCACACAGTAGAGTGCCTGCCTTGCAAGTCCTGAGTTCGGTCCCCAGCACCTTAAGTAATGTTACCAAATAGAAAGTGGTCCTGCTTTATTTCTCATAAGCATGTGTCAGTTGTGTGTAGCTGAGTCACAACTACTTCAGAACTATAAAATCAATCCCCTCATGTAGTTTCAGCTGCCACCTTCAATTTCCTAAAGGAACTTAGTGAGAGTCCTCCATAATATTGCAAAGGAGGGCTGGAGGTGTGTGTAGTGAAGTGTAGATCACTTACCTAGCATGTATAAGGTTCTGGGTTTGATCCTCAGCACCACAAACAAACTAATAAAATTACAAAAGAATGCTGGTCCTAAGGGATTTCCATGCTGCTTGTTTCCAGTAATAGTTTCTGATTTTAAAGCTCATTTATAACTGTCCTGTGTGTATGGTTTGTAGGGAGAGTTACAGCTACAGTAGTATTGAAAGTCTGAGGCTTCTCACTTGTGTTAGTTGGTGAGTCCCTGCGCTTTTTCCATGCATTATTTTGTCTTTGTGTTCAGTGCTGTTATTAAATAATGGCCCTATGACTGTGCCACACTATGGGAAGGAGTTAAAGCAAGGTCAGAAGTATAGATAGATAGATCTTCCTATCTTGACATTCAGAATTCTGTATACTTGGCCCTTATGTCAGAGATGGGTTCTGGACTCCCTAGTCTTGGGATCCTTAAGTGATAATGTGTGTGTTTGACTGCTTTTTTAGAGGAAAGGACTCAGTTTGCGTCCCGTTCTGAACAGTCCATGTTCCAAAGAAAACCTGGGGCTTCATCCTCACACAATTCTCTGGCTTTGGATTCACAGTTGACTGCACTGAAATCTTAACTTTGCCAAGTTACTGACCCTCTGTGACTTAGCTTCCTCTTTAGTAAATGAGATATGATGGTGAGACATATCTTTAGTCTTACCTAAAAATTAGCTAACAATAAATATTTGTTGAGTGCTTAATTCAAAGTGCTATATGCTTATCTAAGTCCTTAGTTGCCTCATTAATTATAACAGCCCAATGAAGATGGTACTATTTCTTCATCTTACAAGATAAGGAACTGAGACCCAGAGAGGTTTAAATACTTTACTCATGATCATACAAGTAATAAGTGGTGGAACAGGATTTATAATTTGCATTTGGCTCATAGTTATGTAGAACTTAGTGTGTTAAAGTTGGTATATAAGACAAAACTGTCAACCTTTCCCTTTAAATTCTCTAAAATTGTTATAATCACATTTACTCCAATTTAGTTACTCCAGCATAGCTGGTTTTTCCTTCATTTTAGAAATAGATTGCTTTTTCTTCATCTGAGCAGTAGATGAAGTCATTGGCTTAGTTTGGAAGTCATGTTGGGCGGGGGGGGGGGGGCAGACTATATTTTTAAACCCTGGACACAATGGCGTTTGGTTGCATTTCTGTAAGCTCTGTAGATGCACATAGTGTCTCCTGCCTGCTAAGCTGCAGCACAGTACCTGGAACATAATGAGTGTTGAGTAACTGAAAGCCAGCATTGTTCTCCAGTATGTACCTACCTCTTTGGTACCATGGTCTACCACTTTCTCTCACCCAGAAGGCCCTTTTGTACTGATCTGAATCTTAACCTGATTTTTCTTCCTCCATAAAATTCTTTCTGCCTCAGCCCACACTGATCTGTTTTGCTTTGGTCTGCCCTTCCCCACACCCTTTTTTTTTTTTTTTTTTTTCTTTGGGTAGTTCTGGGGTTTGAACTCAGGCCGTTGCATTTGCTAGGCAAGTGCCCTGCTACTTGAGCTGTGCCCCTAGCCCTAATTCCCCCTCTTTGAGAGTCTGGACTTGACAGAGGACAAGTGTGCCCTGTGAAATTTGATCCCCCAAGCCCCGACCTCAGCATAGATTTGAGTTTAATGTAGGGCTCAGAGTGGCTGAAATGGGAGTTCTCTGCTACCCTATTTAGTTCTGTATAACTTTTGGGTTGGAATACCCCCAGGGTATCACCGAAGCTGAGCGAGAGGCTTTTGAGCTGCTCCCAGATGATGAGCGTCAGTGCATCAAGTGCAAGACCACATGCTTCCTGTCTGCCCTGGCCTGCTATGACTGCCCAGATGGCCTTGTCTGCCTTTCCCACATTAATGACCTCTGCAAGTGCTCCAGTAGCCGGCAGTACCTACGGTGAGCCTGAGGCCTACTTGAAGGAAGTGGGGCAAGGAGGAAGATACAGAGCTGATCCAGAGTACTCTTCCCTATTTACTTCTTCCAGGTATCGGTACACCTTGGATGAGCTCCCTGCCATGCTGCATAAGCTGAAGGTTCGGGCCGAGTCCTTTGACACCTGGGCCAACAAAGTGCGAGTGGCTCTGGAGGTGGAAGATGGGCGGAAACGCAGTGAGTGATTTAGGGAAGGGGGTGGTCAGAGGATTGCATAGGCAAGTTTTGTTCCCCTTTTTTCTGTACCCTTGACCCAAGGCTAGAGGCATGGTTCACGTGCTAGAGCACATGCCTAACAAGTGCGAAGCTCTGAGTTCAAACCCCAGTACTGCAAAAAAGGAAAAAAAAAAAAAACACCCCGAAAACAAAAACCTTAAGCCAAATCCCTGACCCCCTTCCTTTACTCAGTATGCCTACTCCTTGCTGCTCTCATTTTCCCTTCAGGCCTTGAAGAGCTGAGGGCACTAGAGTCTGAGGCCCGTGAGCGGAGGTTTCCTAACAGCGAGCTGTTGCAGCAACTGAAGAATTGCCTGAGCGAGGCAGAGGCTGTGTGTACCCGGCTCTGGGACTAGTCAGTAGACAGGAAGCTGGGTATGGCGGTATGAGGTAATTGAAGCACAATAGCTTGCTGAGATTCCAGTATTAAGAAAAAGTGCTTTAAGGATAGACTCTGAATACCATTGAGTACGTGGAACATTAAAGGAAGTCACCATTGTGGCTGGCCCGAGAGGTATTGAAGAGAGCAAGGAGGCCAGGCAACTTTAGAATGGAAAGGAGATTCTCAGCAATGAGATAGTTAGAAGAGCTTATTTTTTATCAGTACTTATAAGGAGATTTGAGAGATAGGCTAAAGGATTTTGTGGGCAGAGAAGTTGTGCAAGAATAGGGCAGATGTGAAAACCTGAACAGTAGAGGATGAATTGAAAAGTCCAGGGAGTGGCTTGCCTAGCATGTGTGAGGTTATGGGTTTGATCCCCAGCACTACAAAAAAAAAGAAAAAAGAAAAATAATAAGTTTCTAAGCTCCCCCTGTAACTCCTCCAAATATTTCTCTTTTTTTCTAATTCTTTCCCTTTATTCTATGAAAAAAATACTTACATTTAAAAACCCTCCTTTAACCTGGGCAGTTGAGGGAACGCTGAGGTGTGAGATCAGGGCAAGTAGATATAGTGGAAAAGCGCTGGGTCTTAGCACAGACATGGGGGGAGGGGACTGGGTTTGGACCTGAAATCCCACATGTGAAACTCCATAGCCCCCACAGGGTGGCTGGTGTACAAATGACCTTGGCTGAGCTTCGGGCCTTTCTGGACCAGATGATCAACTTGCCTTGTGCCATGCATCAGATTGGGGATGTCAAGGTGAGGAGATGTGACTCAAGAGTGCTGCTGAAGGATCCAGGGGAATTAGGAAGTCGAGCAAGCAGGCCACTCTGTACTCCTTTGGAAAGCTTAAAGTTTTGGGTGAAAGAAGATGCACAAATGAGAAAATAGTGAGTGGTATGAGTCAAGAGGCTAGATTTGAGGGACAGGGCTATGAGTACAGGATACAGAGTCAAGGCAAGGTTTCCTGGAGGAGGTGGAGAAGGGGGTAATGTGGGTGCTTGTTGGACCTGGAAAGTTGAGCAAAATTCATGAAGGTAGAGGAGAAGTGAGATGGAGAAGGCAGTGACACCAGCATGAACACGAGGACTTGTGCAAGGACTAAGTGTAGCATAGTATTTCTTAGGGCAGAGGGTTAAGCACTGAGGTTCTCAGTGCTCTGAGAACAGAGTCCTTTACAGAGATTCCTTACCTTTATTAAAGCACAAATTCCTGACTAACCTCCATTAAAAATCTCTAGCAGTGGGACCCAAGGAACATGCATTTAACACTCTTCATTAGCACAGTGTTAGGAACCACTTTCATAGAGTCTGGAGGAGAGCCCAGCCCATGTTAGGCTTCTTTTCCCAAAAGATGAAAGGGGAAAAAAGTAGTGGACAGGTATGTATAGTGATGGGTGGACCTCTTAAGTGGGCCCAGCTGAGTAGTTATTCATCCTGTATTCTGCTAGGGCATTCTGGAACAGGTGGAGGCCTACCAGGCTGAGGCCCGTGAGGCCCTGGCCTCACTGCCTTCCAGTCCAGGGCTACTGCAGTCCCTGTTGGAGAGGGGGCGGCAGCTGGGGGTAGAGGTACCTGAGGCCCAGCAACTCCAGCGGCAGGTGGAACAGGCGCGGTGGCTGGATGAGGTAAAACGCACGCTGGCCCCCTCCCGAAGGGGCACCCTGGCTGTCATGCGGGGTCTGTTGGTGGCGGGTGCCAGTGTAGCCCCTAGCCCTGCTGTGGATAAGGCCCGGGCTGAGCTGCAGGAGCTACTGACCATTGCTGAACGCTGGGAGGAGAAAGCCCACCTTTGCCTGGAGGCCAGGTAGGTCCAGCTCTTTCCCCTCCCTGCCCTACTCCACCCTTCAAAGTTTACTGGAGAATTCAAAAATGACTGCTGTGGGTAGCCTTGGGCATGACACTCCTGTGTGGGTGTTAGTTCTTCCCTCCTTTTGTGTTTTTAAATCTGTATACAGAGACAGAGGTAGGCTGATAGAGATGCAGAGATGGACAGAGGCAGATATATAGAGAGGACTAGCTCTAGGCTGGCATGTACACAAACAAGCACAAATCAAAGGCAGGTAGGCAGATTGATAGAAAGGTGCCTCACATGGTATAATCTTGACAGACTGCAGCTATAGGTTACACACGAGTGGTATGTGTAGGCACTGCCAGCAGGCTGACAGCCTGGCAGACAAGCAGAGACACAAGAGCTATGGTAGAAGGATGCATAGGTGCATGCAGTCTGGAGGAAGCAGGGTCTGGCAGCCATCTTTATCAAGAAACAAGCAAGTAGACTCAAGTAGCAGCAAGAATAACAAGTGCCCACCTGTGCAGATATGTCTCGTGGCAGGCTGGATTTGAGTCAATAGACAGTGCCAGACTGGATCCTCTTTTTTTCCCCTCTCCTCCCCCACCTTTAGGCAGAAGCATCCACCAGCCACACTTGAGGCCATAATCCTGAAGCAGAAAACATCCCTGTTCACCTGCCCAACATCCAGGCTCTCAAGGAGGCTCTTGCTAAGGCCCGAGCATGGATTGCTGATGTGGATGAGATCCAAGTGAGAACCCTGCCCTGACTCCCATCCTAGGCCTTATATCCCAGCTAGGAAGAGATGGCACATACTCTGGGTTGTACTGGTTTAGGTGGGCTACAGAGAGGAAGGGTATGACACATTGTGAGGAGATAAAATGTGCTTGGAGAGAGAGTGAGAGGAAAGCTTGTGAGGCTGGCCTAAAGGAAGTTGGGGGTACTAGGATGATGGGGTGGAAAGGCAGAGGCCTGGAGGAGGCTAAAAGAGGCAAACTGCAGCAGAACAGCTAGTCTGGTGTCCTGAGCCAAATCAGTCAGGAGATGCAGGTGTAGTTGGTGCAGAGGCAGGTGGGTGTTCTGGAGGACAAGACCTCCTGTTTCTGCCTCAAGACCATGAGTCTAATCCATCTTCCCAGCCCTGAGCTGTGCACTGAGTAAGCATCAGTAGGTATTGGCAAGTTGAACTCTTTCTCTTGCCCCTGTACCTAGAGTGGTGACCACTACCCTTGCTTGGATGACTTGGAGGGCCTAGTGGCTGTGGGCCGGACCTCCCTGTGGACTGGAGGAACTGAGACAGCTTGAGCTGCAGGTACTGACAGCACACTCCTGGAGGGAGAAGGCCTCCAAGACCTTCCTCAAGAAGAACTCTTGCTACACGCTACTGGAGGTAAGGCCTGGCACTTTGATCTATAGCCTGTCCTTGCCTGGTCTGGCTTCTGTGAGATGGCTCATATGAGAACATGGATTTTGAAGGGGCATTGGGGGAGGAGAGGAGAGTGTGCGGGAGATAGAAAGCCTGGTCATCCCCCCTCTGTCTGCCTGCCTCAGGGCTCTGCCCGTGTGCAGACGCCGGCTCAGACAGTACCAAGCGCAGCCGGTGGATGGAGAAGGAGCTGGGTTGTACAAATCTGACACAGAGCTGCTGGGGCTGTCTGCGCAGACCTCAGGACCAGGCTCTGTGGTAAGGAGCTTAGACACAGTGGGTAAAGAGCCTGCAATGTTAGAGTGTCTGAGCCGGGTGACCATGGGCAGACCGCTTGCTCCCAAGCCTCAGTTCTCCTGGTTTGGAGTGGGGTGTTTGAAGGGCCAGAGAGGGAAGAGGATAAGTTCCTGACCTACTCTTCCGCCATGTCCTGGGCATGGCAGATCTGGCCTTCAAGGAGGGGGAACAGAAGGAGAAGGAGGGTATCCTGCAACTACGTCGCACCAACTCAGCCAAGCCCAGTCCACTGGCATCATCTACCACGGCCCTCCTCTGCAACCTCTATCTGCGTGTGTGGGCAAGTGCCAGCAGGGGTGGGAGTCTTCAGTGTGACCTGTGTCAGGACTGGTTCCATGGGCGCGGTGTGACTGTGCCCCGCCTCCTCAGCTACCCAAGGCCCAGTCCCGCCTCATCCCCACTGCTGGCCTGGTGGGAATGGGACACCAATTCCTGTGTCCACTGTGCATGCGCTCAAGCGCCCACGCCTGGAGACCATCCTGGCACTGCTGGTAGCTCTGCAGAGACTGCCTGTGCGGCTGCCGAGGCGAAGCTTGCAGTGCCTCACAGAGAGGGCCATCAGCTGGCAAGCCGTGCCAGACAGGCTCTGGCCTCTGAGGACGTGACTGCTCTGTTGGACAGCTGGCGGAGCTCCGCCAAACGGCTACAGACTGAAACCCAGGCCTGAGGAGCCTTCCTATCTACTCTTCAGAGCTCGCCTCTGACTCTCTCAGAGAGGGCAATGGCAAAGGATTATGCCTAAGTGAGCCACTCTGCCAGCTCTTTTCCCCTACCCCTGTTGAGGCTCCAGCTTTATCCCTGTTTACAGTTCTTCAGTATTCTTTGGCTCAATCTCCCTGCCCAATCCTACATCTGTCCACATCCCTAGACTCTGCTCCTGGCTGGCAGCCTGTGTTTTCAGAGCCTCCTTTTCTAAAGGTGGAGGGTCCTAGGATTGGGGTTGGGGAAGGAAGAATAGGCCTGGTTCTTCAGTTACCCCTGCCCATTCCTGCTCTCCTTGCACGTCCAGGGCTTGTTCGAGAATTGGAGACAGCGTGACCAGTCTGAGAAGGTAGCCACGGAGGAGGGCTCAGGTAAGAGAGGTAGTCTAGCTGTGGTATGGGTTAGGCTGTTGACTGATATCATCCAGAGTGACCCATGTGGTCCTCACCTCTGTCATTGGTGGTTGGGGAAAAGACCAACAATAGCCTCTAACCCATCCTGTCTTCACAATTCCTCAGATCTGGAGCTGCTGTCCTCGCTGTTGCCACAGTTAACTGGCCCCATGTTAGAACTGCTAGGCACCCGGGCCCCCCTGGAGGAGCTCATGATGGAGGGAGACCTGCTTGTGTGACCCTAGATGAGAATCACAGCATTTGGCAAGCTGTTGCAGGCTGGACAGCTCCAGACATGGAGCGGATCCACACACTTCTAGAGGTGAGGAAAGGGCCATGAGGTAGGTCAGGTCAGCACCAATTAGGCAAGGAGCCCAGGCCTAACTAACTGCCCACAATCGTGTCTTTTTGCCTGTCTGTGATACAGCTCGGAGAAGGCAGAACGCCATGG